GAGAAAATGTTTTGAGAATGATGAGGGCAATGAATGTACAAATGTGCTTTACACAATTGATGTGTGTATGGATTGTGGTGAGTTGTATGAGCCCCTAATAAAATGATTTAAAAAAAAAAGAAAAGAAAGGTCTGTTTACCAAGTTAGCCATTGGTCTTACAAAATTCCACCATGTGATTTCGATCACCAAGGCCCCAGTTTTCAACTACTGATCCTTTCTCTTTGTTCTCAACTTTCCTATTCCAATCACCAGGGATTGATCAATAATCTTCATTTTATGTTTAATCAATTTAGAAATCATCAATTTCTTCATTTGTAGCACTAGTGCTGGTGCAACTGTTAAGTGCTTAACTGCTAAACAAAAAGTTGATGACTAGTACCCACCAATGCTCAGCGAGAGAAAGAAGCTGCAACTGCTCAGTAAAGGCAGGAACAGCCTACACAGTGCCAGGGGTGACTCTACTCCGTCACATGGGTCACCACATAGTCCTAGAGGGCAACTCCACTCCGTCACATGGGTCACTATGTAGTCCCAGGGGTGACTACTCCAATACATGGGTCACTACACAGTCCTGAAGGGCAACTCCACTCCGTCACATGGGTCACTACACAGTCCTAGAGGGCAACTCCACTCCGTCACATGGGTCACTATGCAGTCCCAGGGGTGACTACTCCGTTACATGGGTCACTACACAGTCCTAAAGGGCAACTCCACTCTGTCACATGGGTCACTACACAGTCCCAGGGGCGACTCTACTTTGTCACATTGGTCACTACACAATCCAAAGGGTGACTCCACTCGGTCACAAAGGTCACTACACAGTCCAAGGGGCGACTATCCTTTGTCACGTGGGTCACTACGCAGTTCCAGGGGGCCACTACTCCGTCACCTGGGCCACTACACAGTCCCAGGGGCGACTCCTCTCCGCCACATGGGCCACTGGGAGTCGATAATGGTAACGACTGTGTGCAACACTCTTCCCCCGCTTCCACCTCAACTCATTCTTTCTTCTTTCAAATATCACTGTGCCCCAGACACCACCTTCCCTGCCCGACTTTCAAAAATAGCACCCCTAGTTACCTTTGCTCCCTTACCCCTCTTTTTATTTATCTTCTCGGCACTTCTGATCATCTAATACACTTATTTGTTAGCTTTCCCCTGTTAGAATACAAGTCCCATGAGTACAGAAACCGCCAGTCTGGGGTGATGGCTACACCCACCTCTAATGTCTAGAATGTATTCACTTAGCACAAGACATGGGCTCAACCATTCTCTGTGCACTACCTGGTCTTTATTCTGCTCTAATTAGTTGTGAACCCTTATGATTCTGCTTCTTCATCTGTAAAAAGAGGGACATTAAATGAGCGAGTATTTTTAGCAATAGGATTACTTCTGTGGAACTTAGAGATTGCTGTCGGTATTGTCACAGAATCCCCTGGATGTGCAGTTACTTTAAAAGCCAACACTACATAAGGGTGGCTTACTTTAAGGGTCACCGCTGCTGCCTTGATGATAAAATCATTCACTGACACCTTGATGTCACCTGAAAAGAAAACAGCATTAGCCAAGCTTTACAGCAACCTCGCAACCTAACTCGGACTCATTGAAAGACCCTTATGGCGCCCTTGGCGTTTGCTTGCTTGCTTATTAAGTAAGGTTTCCCTGATTAGAAAAACTTTCATCATGAGGTAGGTTTTTGAAAAATAATATTAGACATGAATATATTTCACTCTGGACTTGTACTAATTATACTATAAAGTTTTAAAATTGCTCGGGTATCATGTACAAGAACTTGAATGATACATTAAACCATATCCAGAAACACAATGACTAATTCCTACACCCACAATGACTAATGGGCTTTCTCTATGTGCAGTGTATATGCCCTGGGGGTTTACAGAGGGCCCAGGTATTTCCCGCATCCTTTAAAAACGTTCTTTTATGCATACTTTGTAATACAGAGATTAGATTCAACCAGTGGTGCCTGTGGGCACTTTAACTACCCAATCATGTATATCTATATATTTCCTTTTACTAATAGAAGTGTACAACCAAACCCTGAAAACACTACATCTAATAATGGTCGCTTGTTACTGCAACAAAACAGGATAGAGCAAATGCCAGAGATGCAGCAATGTGGGCACATGTCCCAGTGGAATGAATTAAGTGAGGTTTTCTGTAATTTTATGGTGAATCCACTTCCTTTAAGCATACATACTGATTTTAAGATCAAACTGGGATTCCACCCCTTTACACAGAGTGGTTCATAACTAAAGCATGTGACTTATTAAAACCTTTGCTCTTCCCTCTTCCCAGTGGGTAAGGGAGTGCTGGAAAACTCAAATTACACTAGATTCTTTCTTGCAAGAGTGTCGGTAAAAAGATTCTAAGACTGAGATATAGTCAATGGTATGTGGCAGAATATACAAACCCTGTCACTACCTCGCCATGGAATTTGACCTGGACCACTGATCATGCCAAAGGAATGCTGGAGATTTCAGAAGGAGATCTGATGTATTACCCGAATCCTCAACACTGCCAAACGGTCACAGTAACTGCCAGCTGTGTAAGGCCCTACCTCTTCTGAGGATATTTTCTAGAAATAAATGAAGATTTTTGTTTGTTTGCTTAAAATCCCTTTAGAAGTAGAACACAAACAGATTTCAGTGCCTGGAAGTTTTATTGATAATCAAAAACAAAAGATTCAGGCTGCACAAATGCAAACATATTTCAAACACAACATTTATGAACTCATTATGCTAAGCTCTCAGAGCGATTTCGGCTTCCTTCTTGCTTGCTGTACTACCTATAGTGCTTCACAGAGTTCTAAATCGACATCCCGAGTCAATGGCTGCTATGTCCGGAATCCTCACCTCAAAGCTTCTGTCCTCATTAGACTCCAACATTTAGAAGCATTTTTGAGTTTTAACACCATCTTCGTGGCTCCCATGTCACTCTCCTCTCTTAGACATTTGCCACCATCTGCCTGTGCAGCATTCTCAGACCCTGCCCCTCAATGTGGCATCTTCCCAGGGGTGGACTTTCCCCGGTTTGATGCAAGTTACATGTTTCTGGCCTCCTCCAAATTCTATCCCTAATCTTTATACAAGGAGCTTCACGCTTGTATACAGGTTCTCACATGACATTTCCCCTAATGTGTCTAATAGGCATCTCAAATCTAGTATGGCCAAAGGCGAGTTTTTCTAGTGTTTGTTTTTAACTCATTAATCAGGTCATAGCCTGATGATGCTGCCCTGTGGGCGTGGCCTTCTCATGAGGATTCTGGGAACTTCCTCTCTTTCTACCTGAAGCGGGACACACTCTCTCTCTGCTTCACCTTCCTGCTGTTGAGATACTCAGAGAGCTGGAGGGGCCACATGGAGACCCATACCAGTGCTGAGATGCTTCTGCCTCCAATGGATCAACAAGACTTTTCATCCACTGGCCTGTGATTTTCCTTCATTCAGCATCACTGCATGACCAGCGTGAGTCTGAAGAGGAATTTATGGACTAGTATTGGACTAGTGATCTGGACTGGGCTGTGTTCTCAATACATAATGACTCTTTGACATAAAGCTCATTCTTATACACACATGAATGTCACTGGATGCGTGTCCCTAGTCAACTCAGTCTAACACTAATGTACCTGAGAGCCACAACAGAAGGTCGCTGGCATCCTAACAATGATATTTTCTTGACTATTATGAAGCTGAGGTCACAAAACAAATAAGGGAAATGAATGCCCAAGGGAGATAAGGCCTCTCTTCAGAGACACCCACAGGAAGTGACTGATGATTAATCATTGTCTGAGTAGGAGTACATCGTACAGGACATTCATTCGTTCATGCTTAAAGCTTTCAGCAAGCTAGGAATGGGAATTTCCTCAACCTCTTAATGGGCATCTACAAAACACCTTTATCCAAGATTGAAGAAAAAACGAGCAGTTCATGCTGAAATTCACAAATACCTCAGCAATCTTACAGGGTGATTTGGGGGCGGGATCTGGCACATTTATTTTGTAGTACAAATTATAAAAAACTTGAAGGCATTCTGAAGAAAACATAAAAATGAAAACTTGCACACAGTAGTGACATATCGAAACTCTATTTACAATCTGAAATATTTGAAAATCAGATGTGTCTTCAGGCGCTAAATGCCAAGGTCTACTCTTCAGGCGCTAAATGCCAAGGTAACAAGGAGGGCTCGGGAAGCCACTCAGAGTCAAAACAAAACTACTCATCGCTTGCTTTGTCTGAGCAAGTCACTCATGCTGCCTTACCAAAAGTTGCTGTTTTTACTGTAAGAAAAACAGGGCAAGGGCCAAAAACCCACAGCGCCATTTGTCCAGCTCAGTGTGTGGCAGCGGGACTGGCACTCAATCCTGCCTGCTGAGTGAGGGCTCGCTCACCAAATGCACATGATTCAACCGCGACAACAGGGGGAACAAAACTGTGCAGAACAAAAGCGGTGACTTGGCACAAAGTCATATCTCCATTAATTCGATACTAGGGAACCGATTTATTTCTTATAGGGAAAACAGAACCAATTCCTTTCTCTAACAGTAAAATACTCCCAGAGCATGAAAATGGAAATGACATATTGCACACTGTGGGTTTTAACAAGAGAGGACTCCGTGATAACTAAGTTAGCAGGTGTACCACATTAAGTAAATCCAACTTCACTCACCTTTGACCAGATCTTGTCTTACTTTTAAAACTGCTCCAAGGTCACAGTCAGCAGTAGCATAGGCATGAGGCACAGTGCTTTTAGATTCAGTTAACCTCTTGGCAATGACTCTTCGAATATTGCTAGCAGGGATTTCAGAGAAGGTGCCCTGCAAGGAAACAGTCTGTCTAGTAAGCACTAGGAGGAATGGAACGCCACACCCGCAACCCCCAGGGTGGCAGTGACCACGCTTATGTGACATCCACTGACGTTAATATGTATGTAAATCAACTGTGCTTTCCTATGAAGAGGTCGATTTTAACAAGGGAGAAATCCCATTCAGTTGTGGTTCTACAGCACATAACTGGAGAGAAACAATAAAAGGCACGTTCCAGTGTTAAGTGGGGCGTCTTAGGTTGCTGTCGCTAAAATGATTCAAAAATCTGCCCAATCATGAATGGTAATCTCATGGTTAAACAGACGCCCCGTGGAGCTCTGGTGGCGTAGTGGGTGACATGCTGGGTTGCTAACCTCAAGGTCAGCAGTTCAAAACTACCAGCTGCTTCAAGAGGAGGCGGCGGTGGCTTTCTATTCTCGTAAAGATTTAGCCTCAGAAACCCACAGCAGCAGTTCCATTCTTTGAAGGTGATAAGGCTATTTTGTAAAAAAAAATTAAATACCGTCTATACTCATGTATAAGCTGAGTTTTCCAGCAGGTTTTTAATGCAGTTTTGTGGTAAAATTAGGTGCCTCGCCTGACATTCGGGTTGGTTTATACTCGAGTATATACGATACATAGCTTTGAAAAAAAAATCCCATTTTTGGGGGGGTACCCCCTCATATATTTCCCCTTGAGAAACAGTATGCAGGTTTATCTCTATAACTCCCCCTTCTTTCTTTTTCTCCTTCTGCAAAGTTCTCATTCCGTTTCAAGTGCATTAACTCCCTACATTTCCTCTCGTGATAAACCAGTGGCGTGAAAAGCACTGGGAAAGGGAAACAGTGACAGAGGGGAGAAGTTTGGAAACAAAACCCCTGCTAGTATCTGAGAAGGAAGGGCTGTGGCTCTTCATCGAGAGGCTTACACTTCACGACGGCAACGATGAGACGCTATTTGAGAAAAAACACAGGAACGCATGGAGAGCAGAGGGCATTCACCCAGCACAGATGGTGCAGAATTAAACTGAGTAACAGCCTAGTATTCTGTTTGGAAGCAAACATCGTACAGACACATTTGGCTGAGCTGGCAAAGCCGCATGAAGTAGCAGGGCGCTTCCTCAGGGACCACTGTTAGCGACTACCGGAGGGGCCTGGCAAAAGGACTGGGGAAGCAGCATCCACTGTCCTCATTCTCTCCCTCTCGAGTCACGCCCCACTGAGAATGTCTCAAGGTCACATTACCGCTGCGTTAGGCTTCCCAGGAGTCGACACTGGTGGGATCATCGGCCGGGGATAGGAAGGGCCTGCTGCCGCCAGGGTGGGCGAGGGCGCTGCTGTGGGAGTGGGTGGCGGGGTTGGCGTCGGTCTTGATTCAGCGATCTTGCCCATCTGCTTCAACTCTACCAGTCTGAGAGCATCCCTGTACATGAAATGGAATTAGAAAACTCTGATTAGCAACAAAAATGGCCGAGAGCTTTAGAAAGGAGTGGGGACATGTGGAGACAGTCACAGAAACATATAGATGGGAAGTTGAGAAACAAAACCAATTTGGGGGGCTGGAAGAGTAAATCTGGTCTCTTACTTAGTGCCCTGGATTGCATTGTGTGCCCCCAAATGTATGTGGTAAATGCTAAGCCCTGTCTACACACGTGATAGAGTGCCACTTGGGACAGGGTTTCTATCTTAGGTTAATGAGGGGCTATCAGTTTGGAGTGTGTCCTAAGCCCATCGCTTGAGATATCCAAGGAACAGTTTAGGCACAGAGACAAGAAAGGTGGACGGACGAAGCAAGGCCTGGAGATCTATGGAATCAAGAAGCAAAAGTTGAAAATCGACAGCAGAAAAGCCTTGCCACAGAGCCAGGGTCCTGACTTCCTTCTAGACTCCTGGGGAAATAAAGGTTTGTTAAATCTACCCACTTCTGGGATCGTTCTTCCCATGTCTATCAGTTTGTCATAGTCTGGTGACATGCATGTTGCTGTGATGCTGGAAGTTTTATCACTAGAACTTCTAGAAGACTAGTCAGTGAACACTGCCCAGAACAGGGGTCCTCAAACTGCGGCCCGCCGAGGACATTTATCCGGCCTGCCGGGTGTTTTTCCCTTTTGTTTTTTCACTTCAAAATAAGATATGTGCAGTGTGGATAGGAATGTTTTCAGTTTTTAAAAAAACTATAGTCTGGCTCTCCAATGGGTCTGAGGGACCGTGAACTGGCCCTGTTTAAACAGTTTGAAGACCCCTGGTAGAACCTGGACTACATGAAGAATGGGGCTCAGGGTTGGAGGACGACTAACTACGGGCCAGCTACATGCAGGTGCCACAACCCTGCTGAGCATAAAGAGGGCCTGAAGCACTCACTGGTGAAGATCAAAGAAGACAGTCTTCAATGTGGATTACAATTCAATGTAAGATAATAAAAAGCCTCACAACTGGAAGGATGACTAACACCCACAGAAACAGCGGTCAAGGAATCAAATGACACACTTCACTGGGCAAATCTGCTGTAAGAGATCTCGTTAAAGTGATGAACATCGGAGATGCCATTTGGAGGACGAAGGTGAGCTTGACGAACTACAGTATGTTCAACTGCCTCATACGCACATGAAATCTGCACAATGAATCAGGAAGGCGGTAGAAGAACTGATGCCTTTGAATTATGGTGCTGATGATGAACACTGATGTATTTCGTTACAGCCATAAAAATAAGCAAATTAGTCTTCAAAGAAGTATGTCCATAATGGTCCTTAAGGGAAAGGATGATGGGAGGTCACCGCCTGTCTTCTGGGGATGTTGTTAGAAAAGAGCTCTGGGGCGGGGGTAGTGGTTACTCAGTGGGCTGCCAGCCTCAGGGTCTGTACTTCCAAACCCCAGAAGCTCCTCAGGATCAAGGTGGGGCTTTCCACTCCCATAAAGAGTTATAGTCATGAACTCATAGCAATGACTGATGTTATAATTAACTACCCTCCCTTCCCCGCTGGGGACGAACAACAGAAATGGGGGTGAAGGGAGAGTGTGGATGATGTAAGATATGAAAATAATAATAATAATTTATAATTTGTCAAGGATATATGAGAGTGGGAGGATGGGGCAGAAAGGGAGGAGAAAAAGAGGAGCTAATACCAAGCGCTCAAGTAGAAAGAAAATGTTCTGATGTACAAATGTGCTTGATACAATTGAAGTATGGATTGTTATACGAGTTTAAGAGCCCCAATAAAATATTTCTAAAAAGAAAAAGAGCGTTCCAGTCTCCGAAACCCACCGCACCAACTCCAAGGCAGGGGGTTTGTTTCTGATCTTCTTGTTCGGTCAAGTAGAGGAACAATGACACAGAGGAAGACCCTCTTTCTCCATGAGATGGAATGACAGAGTGGCTACAAAATTTGCATGAACGCATAGCAACTAGTCCTTGTGAACAAGAAACAGATACCTAGTCCATTGATTATTTGTTCAGTAGCATGGCAGTTGCACGCTTTGGAAATGCAAACAATGGCCAAGCTAGCAAAGTGCCAGATGCTGTTGCTCGGTGCCCTCGGGTTGGTTCTGACGCACAGCAACCGTGTGTGAGAGAACAAACCACCGCGGGCAGCCACCGTCCTCACAGTCCGTCCTGTGTTTGAGACCCGGTGCAGCGACTGTGCCATCCACCTTGTCGAGTCGTCCTCTTTGTCGCTGTCCTCTTTACCAATCATGCTGTCCTTTCCCAGCTGACTGCTTTCTCTGTATGTCCAAACCCTGGGAGACACTCTCGCCATTCTTACTTCTACAGAGCATTCTTCTGACTGTCTCTCTTCCAAGACAGATCTGTCTGTTCTTTTGGCAACCCATAGTATTTTCATTTACCTTGGATGCATGTGAATGAGCTAGTGATCATGAAAATGCAAAATTCTACCAATGTCTTCAGCCTAAAACTGACCACGCAGCCAAGGGGAGAGTATTGTTTATATTCTATAGGGAAAAAGGGACTAGACTTCAACCCAGTGCTCCAAGATGTGAATGCAACATGCCGCCGTGGAATAGGGAACCAGCGGAGAGGTCTGGGGGGCCGGACCCAATCCCAACTACTAAGTGCACACCTCCCCGTCCCCCCAGAAGAATTTATTTCAAAGGACGGCATTGAATCTGCAGCTCCGGGAGAGGGACATATCTGATCAGCGCACACGGGAGCAGATGAGGAGAGAGCACATCCCGGCCCACCAGGCCGGCCCCACTATGAGACATGATGCCCCTAACTGACCCATAGACCCAGGGGACAACACCAGAGACACAGTGTGGGAATTGTACCAGACCTGATCCCACCACGTTGAGGCAAAACACTAAGGGGGTGCAACAGAACAGCAAGGGAATGGAGCGGCGAGGTCCCCAGGGGATGTTGAAGGTGGACTTTGAGGCCAGGGCGTGGTGCACCAACAGACTGGACGGGAAAACACTCCTAAAGGCCAACAAACAATCCTTGAACTAAGTACAATCTTTTCTTTCTTGTGTTTTGTTTTTTTGTCATTGGTTTGTTGTTGTTTTGCTGTATATTGTTGCTTGGTTTTGCTCTGTCTTGTTTTTGTGCATGTTATTATCTCCTCAGGTCTGTCTAAATAAGATAGGCTGGATGAACAATCTAGAGGAGGAAACAACGGGACCGACAGTTCCGGGGGGACATGGGAGAGGGAGAGGTGCAGGAAAAGGTAGTGGTGCTAACAAACCCAGGGACAAGGGAACAGCAAGTGATCGGTGGTGAGGAGGATGTGGGAGGCCTGGTAGGGCATGATCAAGGGTAATGTAACCAAGAAGAATTGCTGAAACCCTGGTGGGGCCTGAGCATGATAGTGGGACAGGAGGAAAGTCAAATGAAATAGAGGAAAGAGCT